TTTTTTTTGTTCAGCATCTTTTAAACAGGCCTTACCTCACATGCATGGTGTTCTTTTAGTATCAGCACATATGCAGCCATAACTGACTTATCAGTCAATTATAAAGTTGAAAAATATAACATATTTTACAACAAGAACTTTTTTTGAAGATTGTAAAGAATATTGTTCCACTAGCCAAAAATACAGCAGAAGATGTAAGAAATGAAACTATAATAGTGCGTATTAATATGTAATTTTATTCCAAGTTGTTTTTGTACACTAGAATAATAATAATAATAAGAATAATAATAATAATTGACATCTCCTGTACTCACAGACCCACAGCTTGCAGGACATGAGGCAGCAGGCAGCCGTCGCTGCCAAAGTCTTCGTTCAAAAAGATTACACCAACGACACCGTGTGCCAGTTCCAGACCAAGTTCCCCTCTGAGCTGGAGTCCCGGGTATAGATGCACCTCCTCACTGATCTTCAGCCATGAATTGTTCAATCACAGTGTCACATTGATTAACTTCATGTGTCCATTACATCCATCAAACACTTGCTTGTCTTGTGGATGAGATGGTAACTCTCTCTGTCTCTGCTAGGTGGCTCATTAAGCACTGAAACAGAACAGACGTTCCCAGGCCTCCTCAACAACCAGGTGACCCACAGGTAAAGACAAAGCAGTGCGGACGGACCATCTGCAGCCCAGCAACCACTACACCAACCATCACTCATTTTGAATGAGTGATGAAATAAACCTGCTAGAAAGTTGCAGGTATTTTACCGTATAAATCACGGCTGCTTTCTCTGTCGAGGAACACTAGCTGTTGCTGTTTGAGGCCAGACACTTCTGTGTTTGGGCAATCTGTTGTGATGCAGAGGGTAAGCTGAGCTGACCCACACAGTAGGAGGACCTGAGAGGGGACTGACCCCATCGCTGCTGCTGCTTCCCACAGAGATGTGAAGCCCTCCGTCGGGACCAGACAAACGGTAACTGCAGCATTTTACGCAGGAGGGAAGGATCTCTTGTGATTCCTATCAGAACTTGTTCATGTGTCTTGGATAGAAAGAAACTACATGGGTTGGGTGCAAAACAAATCTTATATGAAGGCTTAAGCATGCATGCAGCAAAAGGCTATCAGCGGGCTGCGGGAATCTAATTTATTGTTGAGAATCCAAAATTAAATACATGTTAAGGAAAATGATTCATCTTTCATTTATGTATTTAAGAATTACACAGCAACCAGCAGGCAACAGTGAGCAAGCCTCCAATCTCTCTATTGCAACCCAGGCCATTCTTTTATTTTTCATTTATATATTTATTCAATTACACATCAAACAGGACGTGAGAACAGTGACAACGACTCCATTCACTTGGTTCCTATCCAGACAACACATTTTCCTTGCCGCACCTGTAATGTGAAACTAAATGGAAAAAAGCACAGTCACCTTTTTTTTTAATCAGGTAATGCTTTATGTGTGCATTTGCTAGGGTGATTCACCTCATGGTCATGTGGAATACAGTGCATTGGTGTATTAATACATTTGATAAATTAATCATATCAACGATGATTTATGAAACTGTCACATTTTCTTCGTGGCATATCTGAAAAGCACGGATTAGACGGAAATATAAATGGCACTTTTTTTTGGTTCTATTTACACAATAAGCACAGAGGGAGGGAGAAACTCATCTGAAACTTCACTGTCAGCTGATCAGAATTTGGGGTTTTAAGGGTTTATAAGTCAAATAAAACGCATAGGCAGTAAAAGACACAAACAAATACATAAGAAGAAAAACCTCATGAAAGTGGTGCAAAGATCATGAGGAACATAATCACCATTAAGATGCTGCCCGTAACACTTTAGTAATACATGTCACATTCTCTGTAACACGAAGTGTGAAAGTTCATTCTTCCCCTTGAATAGTCGTTTAAAAAAACAATATAAACTCTTAACATAGGAGCACTTCCTAGCTTTCTCTGTGGTTTACTAATATTCACTAAAGAGTTGAAAGTCAACACATTTGTGCAGTTAAATTATTTGACAGACATTATGCTGTGCAAACCATATCATTTTGAAATAAATGTTTTTTTTTCTGACAAATTATTAAAGGAGAAATGTATGACATATAGATATATATGCACAGAGCATCACCAGGAGGCATCATATCAGTGTGTATATTTTGTGTAAAGGAGGTAAAGGGCTCCATGTGTCTAATATATACAGATAAGCAATTATTCAAATAACAGCCAACTTTTTGCTACACATACACCTGGGGCCTTGCGGCCCGGGAGGGTTTGGGGTCCTGGGGCAGTTGCACATTCCTTGTGGGTAATTCAGCCATGTATGAAGTAAATATGCCTCAAGTGTACTGTGATCTCTATAGGAGAGGAGCAGTTTGAGGCAAAGCAACTCATCACAGAAAGAAAGAGAGACAGATTGAAAGGATGGATGGATAGATATATGGATAAGATAGTGTGGCATCACAAGGGGCTAGGTATTGGAGGGGTGCTACATTCCCTTTGTAGATCAGCAGCCACACCATAAAAATGGCTGCTGATCTACATACTACAGCTCCCAGAATGCTTCACCACTCACCCAGGTGTGGGTGTTTAAGCCACCTAATTGAGGCAGGACTAAAGAGCAGCAGAGGAGAGAAGGAGGGGGGAGAGAGCGCACAGCTGGAAGGAGCTCCGAGAGCAAACTTGGTCTGGAGAACTGCATAAAGTCCAGTACAGAACCAGACTGAGAAGGATTGAAAGAAAGAAGACCCGCTAGCCTGTGAAACCGAGGACATTCTAAGTTGAGTTTTTTTCTAATACTGTTCAGTTTAACGAACCATTATCCCCACTTGAACGCTTTTGTTTGTTTTGGACTTTTGATTTAGATAAAGAGAGTTACCTGAGTTGCAACAGAAGAATAAAACTTCACCTTTTTCTAGGAACCTTTGATTTTTGTCTGTTTTTATTAATTACCTTGCACCACCCTAGCCTGCCCTGGTGACTTCTCATGACATTACAGTAGACAGACTGATTGAAAGAAAGAATGGATGGATGGACTCCGAAAACTGGTTTCAGCTCTCCCATTTAGTTTACTCTTGTTCAATATTTTTACACAGTTGACAGATTTTCCCTTATTCAATTCAATTTATTTTTGTATAGCCCAAAATTACAAATTTGCCTCAGAGGTCTTTACAATCAGTACACATGCGACATCCTCTGTCCCGGAAACCTCACATCGGAACAGGAAAAACCGATCCACGGAAACCTGCGAGGCGAGAAAGCACAGAGACTCCGGGGAAGAAGCAAAGTCAGTAATGTGCGTTAAAGGTATCGTGTCAGACAAAGAGTCAGTCAGACAGAGTGAGACAGAAAGTCAGTAAGACTCATAGACAGACAGCGTCAGTCAGACAGTAAGTCATTAAGACAGAAAGTCAGACGGACAGAGAGAAAGTCAGAGAGATGGACAGAAAGTCAGTCAAAGAGACAGACAGAGTCAGGCAGAATGATGTGTTAATGCTGGTGGTCAGGGAGTAAGTAAAGAGAGATTGTAATCATTGGGCCTTTTATCAAACAGTTACAAAAGTCCTCTTTATCCAATCCTACCACCACCAGAGGCTCATAGAAGTTCATCCAGGGACTTAATAGGGAGTCATATGCAACCCTTTATCAACTAGCAATCTCTCCTTTATGGTATGAATGAAGAGTCAGGTAGAAAGTCAGAGAGACAGACGGAAGGACAGAAAGTCAGACAAAAAATCAGGGACAGACAGAAAGTAAGACTGATAGAAAAGAGAGAGAATGAAAAGGAGATAGATGGATAGATAGTCAAATATATTATGACAAAAAAAGATCCTTCCCCCCATGCATTCCATCAATCTTCCAAAGCTTTTGTGCTGAGTAGTCTTTAACAATAACATACTGTGGCGCTAGCACAGAATGTCATGACGTCTCATATCAGAGTAATGATAAAATCCCTTGTCTTCTATCTCTAACTAACTAAATCAGTATATTTGTTGCACAGCTGGTAGATGACGCGATTCTAAACACTGTATTGGTTGTAGGAGTCTCTCTGCACAATCAACTCATCACAGAATTCACTTCCTCCTCCGAACACTAGATGGTGGGCACGCCTAAGTGTGTGTGTGACCTTTGGGCTACATGCGGATGCTGATACGGAACCTGCTTTTAGGATGTGAGACTTCACCGGTCCGCTGGCAGTTTCTGGAGGATCTGCATAACGTCCAGGTTAGATGATGGCTGGTTGACATTCGTCCCATTGAGCAACGATCCAAAGTTAGTGAGAGAAAAGCAACAAAGAAATGCATTAAGGTTAGAATTCCAATGTTAACCTAAAGAAAAAGTGTCAATTCCTGCACACAAATTATTAGCTCTGCAGTTGAATTATTGAAGTAATGATGTTTTGGACACAAAGGCCTTTTTGAAGACAGACCCACCACAAATGACTCAGTGATGTACAGTCCTAATCTAAGAAGTATCCACCATAGGCCGCCATTAGAAATGGCCCATCATCAGCCATGTCCTGAGGGACACAAGAGCCTACCTGCTGTCTCTGAAAACCACAGCAGGTCAACCGCTTCATTTATCCCCATTAATGAATAAGCTATCAAATGCATTCAAATCATTATTAGAGAATTGGTGATCTCAACAAGGTTAATTAAGCAGCTGCTCCTAGAGAATAAATGTAATTCCTTGATTCAGGTGTATGTACTGTATGTATTTCAGCATTGCCCGCAAATCGCAGTATAATAGGATTTCTCTTAGTTTTTCTACACCAACCTGCTCTGATAGTCTGTATACTGACTGCAGTCGGCTTCATTGTGAACATCGACAAAAAAATCTTAACAGGTACCTTCCAAGATCACAAATGTCTTGTCATACAAGATGCTATGCTACACTCTTGACATTTTAGCTTGCAGACCACAGAAGCTACTATATCCGAAATATGTCCTAAATATAGTGTACACTCGCATATTAATTATATTTTAGGTGTCTAACATAAAATACATTTTGATTTCCCCCGTCTGCAGCAGTACACTTTTCTTACCTGCCGATACTCCTGTCTGCTTCTCCAAATTGGAGGCGTGAAGATCTGGATCATCTGGATCTCCTCCATGTGTTGAAGATGAGCAGCTGTGTCTCTATCCATTTGTCTCAGTGGAAAGAAGTTGTTCTCTCCCATAATGGTGCATCTCTATCCAAAGCTTGTTTGGTTATGGCTAAAGACACAGAGTTTGTGATGAATGTTGATGTCATGGCACCAGAACACGGAACATTCAACACGGAACATTCAACACGGAACATTCTAAATAGAATCTCACCTCATGGAATTGATCCTCCTGTCAATGTACACAACAACAATACAGGCTTATTAAATCATCAACATGAATGACAGTACTCTTGGAAACATTAATAACCAGAGTGCAGAACAACAACAGCAGTGTTCTGCAGAATACAAGGCTGATGCTTCACTCAACTTTTTCAGAAATGTATTTGTTAATATAGTAATTAATTTCTGATTTTAGGAATTATTAATGATATGCTCATTGACATTGATTAAAAAAGTATAAGCACCTTTCATTGATATCCATCCAAGAGCAGTGCTCGACTACCAAATGGCCACACAGGGCAGACTTATTCGGCCCTGTTGCCTGTTAAAATAAGTTCATCCGAAATGTTTGTAAAACACACTAGAATCAACCAGAAGAGACTAATGCAGCCTGCAATGAATATAGTTTTCATTAGCCAAACTATAAATATATATAAAGTAAATATATAAAGTTCAATTTAAAAGAAAAAGGCTCAATAATTACTTGTAGTTTTATCAAACAAACTGGAGAAAGGGGGTTTGTTGAGTGGAAAACAGGCTTAAGAGACGACACAAAATATCGCCCTTAAAATCTGAAAGTAGAAAGGTGCAGTCAGCTGAGAGCAGATCTTCTCCAGGTGTGTCTGCAACAACCGCTGCTGGGTTGTGTGATTGAATGAACACAACCAGCTTCATTTAAAGCCTTTATTTAGGCTTTAAGTCAATTTTCGTCAATACTTGTGTTAATGCGAGGTTGATGTCCAATAAAAAGGTAAAAGAGCAACCGTGTGTGTAGCGCCGTTAGCTGTTAGCCAAACACAACGTCCACATAGATAAAAGTGGGCGAACAGTTTCCCCCATAGACACACAGTTAATGGTTCCCCCCTACTGTGTCTCTGGTCAGCGGCTGGGCTTCAGCTGTGTTAACACTAGCGGCCCGTTCAGAGTCACAAGTGAGGATCAGCAGGCAGTCAATGGCCGCATAAAAGGTGCAATAAGAGAAGCCAGCAGCATGTAAAATATGTACACATTTTATTTGTTAGCATACAAGTTTTAGATTAATAACATGTTGGATTTCAACTGAAAAACAACATAGAAAAGTCTAATTAACAGAAGTCCAGATAAATAAAGTATGAGCTAAACCAAAACACGAATAAAATTATATTTACATCTTTAGAAATCAAGATAGTTGTTCTAACAGCTATGCCATTCAGAAATCTATACTTGTACATGTAGTTATTTCATAATTCACCAGCCATACGCACTACAGTTTATTCAACCTTTGTTAAGGTTTCAATGACATTAAATCATCATCTTAAGTTTAAGATGCTTTTTAGCAATAAGTGAATGAAGCCAAGTTGTGACAGACATGATTTCACAGTTTAGGTTTGGTCACTCCAGAAAGAGGTGCAGTGAATCTAATCTGTGCGTTTATGCAAAGTGTTTGTTTTTAGAACCTAGCTAACGTACAGTGGGTACGGAAAGTATTCAGACCCCTTTAAATTTTTCACTCTGTTTCATTGCAGCCATTTGCTAAAATCAAAAAAGTTCATTTTATTT